TTTCTTATTTTCAATCAAGATCATTTTTTAACTTCAATTTGAGCAACTTGCTGTTGAGAAGTTAACTGTTCTAACTGCATTTTTAATTTTTAATTTCATCTTTATAGTTACCATTCTCTTCTAACTCCTTTATCTTATCTAATAATTCTTGCTTCTGTTTTTTACTTCACTTTTCTGAAGTTTTCATGAAATCTTCATGAACTTCCCTCTCCTCATAGATAGTTCATTCAGCAGTGTTTAATTCTTCCCGTAATCCATTTATTTGTCACTCATAAGAAACTGCTTGACTTTCATAGGGTAAATGTGGAAGTTCCTTTTCTTCCATGTCTTCTTTGTACCTAATACAAAAACAAACATATTTATCACCACATATATCAATATAATGTTTGGTTTGTAACCTACCACATCTCTCACATTTTTCCAATTCATCAATCTCAAATTTTTCTTTACAATCTTCACAAACTACACCATCTGCAACATATTTACCATTTACCTTAATGCAAGTTACTATTTGGTTAACAGATTTATTATCTTCTCCATAATGATTAGAACAAAAATCACATGTTTTCCAACTTGACCTTTCTAAACCTAAAAGTGTGTAAGTTAGTTCTCTCATCAATTATCTACTTACCTCTATTCTAGCAACTAACTCTTGAATTTGGCTTTTTTTGCTTTCCACCAATTGATGGAATTCAGTTTTTAAATTGTCTAAATTTACTTTGCTTTTTAGGTAAAGCAGGTAAATCCTGCTAAATGTAATCAATTTTGTTTTCTTCTGTGAGATTTTTGTTTCATGATTCTTTTTCTGAAATTATCTTATTAGATGCCTCTGCTTTTTCCCTTTCTTGGTTTAGTTCTTGTTCTAATTCACCAATTCTTGCATTTTTATTCTCAATTATCTTACTACAGTGCAGATCATCTATAACCATTAATTGCTTATAGTAACAATTGGTCAACTTCAAAATACTAAAACAAAAAAAATAATATCATTTTAAAAAATTTAACTGATAAGTTTTATTGTTAATGACTCAAGCTTCAAAACTTATTGGCTGGTTTTTTCTTAAACTGAAAATTGGCAGAACCTTAGCATTTGAAAATTCTGAATTTTGTTATACATTTAAGAAATTGAGACCAATTAAATTTCGTGTAACAACTTTTTTTTCATAGAATATTTTCTACAACATACATTTGATTTATTTGATTTATTTATTTCCTTTTTTTATTAATAAATAAAAGTTCTTTACAACAAAAAAGTTTAACGAACATATTACAATAAAAGAAAATCATTACCAAATTTGATCGTGAGATTCAAAATATTGTAACACGAAAATTATTGTTGCACTTCCGAGCATAACTTTCAAATTTAAAAAATCTATGAAAGAAAATTTGAGACAATTTTTTTTTTAGATTAATAGACTCCCCTTTTAAAGCTGAATTGAATGGTGGTAAGTTTTTCAAAATCAAATGTGTGGATCACATAATATTTCAAAAATTTTAACTTTTGAGTATAGATGATCCACACTGTAGAAATTTCTAATTTTTGGTTTTTCTCTGCTATCTCCTTTGCTGATGCTTCTTTCTGAGTTCATTTTTCTTTTCCTCCTGTTCCTAAAGCCTTTAAATGAATTTCATTATCTATTTTAGCTTTCTCTGCTCTTGCTTTTCATTTATCAACAAGAAGTTTATTCTTTTCTAAAACCTCTTTTAACTCAGTATCCCCTTTTTCTAAAAGATTATTCTTTTCTTCTAATTTCTTATTTTTACTATTATCTTTTTCTGCACATGCTTCAGTTAAGATTATAGAAAAATAATTATAAAGTTGTTGATCAAGTAATTTCTGCATCTCAGGTGTAATGTCAAAAAGTTCTTGAATTTGTGATAATTTAAATTTTGATATAACCAGGGTTCTTCAATTATCTGCGTTTGATCTGTAGCATCAAAATTAAATGAAAGAAAACTAGTAGCTGTATGAAAAGTTACTGTGTTATAATTGCGATCTAAGTAATTTTAATCCCTTTTTGTAGTGGTTGTATCCACTGAAATGATATTCATCGATTATTCACCAATTATCCAGTTAATCAGGTGTTGATAATTTTTCATTGATTAATTAATCAGGTGTTGAAAACTTTCACTGGATAATTGGTGAATAATCAGCGGTACAGAAATATAATAATAATAAAAAATAAAAATTTTTATCCACATAATTGAAAGAATACAACATGTTAATACTATTTTATCCACTATTGCACTATCACCAACATTCTTTCTATTATAATGATATATCAAGTAATATGAATACTAACTGTGTCATTATTATTTAAAGAATATTTATGCATTGTAGTAACTTCTACTCCAAATGAGCGACCTTGTCACAGTGGACTATAATTATAACGGATTTTTAATTTTTGTTTCACATTCACATTAAATATAAAAACATAAAATTACATTGTGGCAAGATCAGTAAATCTTGCCACAATGGGTTTTAAATAAATCTTCATTCATCTGCTGTGGCAAGGTTTGACTGTATTTAGTGAAGCTGGAAACACACAATGACAACCATTAGAATAAAATTGGTCTGTTGTTATTTGTATTTCTTAAAACAAAAATGCATATTCAGTGGATATTCAGTGGATATTTGGCAGATATTCAGTGAATGACTGATTAAAGCTCCTCATGAGCTGGCTTGTGAGCCAAAAAACTTATTCAGCTTGCAAGCTGGCTTGTGGGCCTACTAAGTTATTTGGCTTGCAAGCTGGCTCATGTGGAGCCTTATGACAATTATCCAGGTGTTGAGTTTTATTGACTGACTGATTATCCAGATGTTGAGCTTTATTGATTGACCAAGTACTCAAGCACCCAGATAAAACAGGAGAGACTATTCTGGGAACACAAAAATTAACAGGAGGAATACAAAATTTTAACCCATGCAATTTGTTGATTGACCAATTAAAATCACGAATTTGATAACGTAGAATAAATATGGGTTTGATTCATTTTATCAACAATCACTTCACCAACAATTGTTTCATTAATGAATTTAAGAAGTTGGAAGAAATAGTCTAATAAATTGAACTGTACTACTCAAAAATGGATTTAAAGGGTTGGTTTTTGACTTGGTCGAAGAATAACTCTCTTCCTAACTTTTCTCTTGACCATATCTCTTGATATAATCAAAATAACCTTAATATAATGAATGTCAATGAATGATTGTAAACACAACAAATTTAAGATATATGATTGTGACAAAAAATGAACAATGTATGAAAAATCAAACAAATTTATTTAAGGGTAGGGTAAATCACGTGTCAATTTATATGTAGATCCGGGCTCAAAAATCCAAATTTATGCACACTACATAGATAAATTACGCGAAATGCATCTAAACACCTTTGAAATTTTGTTGCATGTAAACACAAACCCCTTTAATTTTTTGTAAAATTTCAAACAAAATTAATTAGTAAAGATTTATAAAATTCTTAAAATTCTTCAAAAAAAGTTGCCAATCCCATAACCATACAACATATAGTAAAAATTACTCTTTCTGAAATAAATAAATAAACTTAATTAATTTAAAGCAAATTTTTCACCAGCTTAATGATAGCTTCTTATTGTTTAGTAAAACTATCTTATTAATAAAATATTTTTTATATTTAGCATTTGAAAATGAAAAATTGGTATAAATCATTAACAGAAAATAATATTAATTATAAATTATTTTATCAAAAAGATCAAAGTATTTTTGTTTGTGATGATTCATATCAACTGAACACCATGGAAGCACATCAAGATTTATATAGCTCATATATCTTGTGAATAAAAACCCCTATAGGCATGGAATCTATATCATTTACTCACCCCAACATTTTTCTGAATGTTCATAGAAAAAAAAAACAAAAAAAGAAATTAATTATGATCAAGTAATTGAAAAAATTGGTGAAAATATCATTGGAAGATCTATAATATATTGTGCATCACCTAGAATTTGTGAAGAACTCAAGACACATGTTGCAAATAAAATTAACAATTGTGAAGTGGATCCATTTCATGGCAATTTAACAGAAGGGAAAAATTTAATGTTATTAATTTTTTGTAAAATATATATAATAATAATAAATCATTATATTTTTATTATTATTTGTTATTAGGAAATTTTCATGACAATTTTATAATGATAAATTTCAGAAACCAGCAGTCAAAAATTTTGAGCCATAGATTACTATAATCATAATCACGTGATTTACCCTACCCTTAAATAATTCAAGATCTAAATGTGATCTCTTAGCAGTTAATAAATTCCCTGCATGACTGAATAATCTTTTGCTTGGTGTTGAGGTTGCTGAGAGAGAAAGGTATTGGTGAGCAAGTTTTGCAAGAAGAAGGTACTTGGATTTTTTGTATTTCCACCAATCAAAAGGACTAGAATTAAATTCAATCTCATCTTTCTTTAAATATTCACTTACTTCATCTGAAGATAGATTTTGACTTGATGTATTAAAAATTGAAAAAGTGTAGGTGTTTCAACTAAAGTACTACCTTGATTTACAATTGTTGATGAAATATTGGTGATTGTTGATTGCTGAGTTGATAATATCAAAAGATTTTAATTATTGAAAAAAAGGGCTGAAAAATTTTGTTTGAGTTAAGCCAAATCTGACTTATTGAGTTTACCTATGTATTATAATTAGTATTTGCACGGATTATCCAGATATCTAAAATTTTGATCCACAATCCATCAACCCTTTTAAAAAGCTATCCGCCAATCCAAATGTGAATGGATTTTTTTATGGATATCCAGATTGATCATCCATGGATTGCATCTCTACTATATATCAATCATCTTTTGTCATGTGAAAAATTTTAAAAATCAATTTACATTTTGGCACCCTTTTTTTTTCAATATGTTGACATACAATAGCATTTTCCTATTGAAATGTTTTTGAATAAAAAAAGTATGTATAAAGCAGGAGATCTAACAGTCAATGATTAGCACATAACTTTAAAAGCTTATATATAATCCCTCATTTAAAAGAAAAAAAAGTAAACTGTTAGAATTAAAGCTAAACTCCATTTTTATCAATTTGTTTGTTTCATGTTATTAGTCATAAGGCTTCAAAGTTAGATCATTTTTATATGCAACAAGATTTATAATTAAAGTGGGACATTTTGTCATTCTACAATTAAAAAACAATTGAGTATTAATTAATTTTCTTTATTGCAAATTCCAAATGTTTTCTTATCTTCAATATGCACCTAAAAGCAAACAGCCATTTGCATTTTTTCTTTTTTCTTTGTTCTTTGTTGTTGTTGTCATTATATTATTCACTTTATGTATGATATATGACACACAGCCCATTCATGATCAACAGTCATTTCTTGTTTAATTAACATTAAATCGAATATTTAAAGGATCCATTTATCTGTGATTGTGAAGAATAACCAAAATTCTAAAATAACTGGTTTACTATAAATTTTTTATAAATTCCTTAACTGCATACAATTTGGAAAAAAAAACCAAAATTCTCTAAGAGTTAACTGAACAAATCAAAATGAAATTCAATATTTCTCTTCTCTTTTTGGCTATTTTTGCTGTTGTTGTTTTAGCAAGTCCAATTGATAACAATTATTTGGAAAAGCAAGTTATTTCACTTATTATTATGTTGCTATTACAATAAATATCATTATATTTGATATCATTGTTTTTGAAAAATACTAATTGTTTTTGAAAACATACTAACTATTGATTGGTTTTTGTTTTATTTAAATAATAAATAAGGGTGTAAGTATTTTCATCATTACTATCATTACAGTCACATTGTTTTTGAAAATATACTAACTATTGATTGGTTTTTGTTTTATTTTAAATAATAAATAAGGGTGTAAGTATTTTTGTCATTTATTTATTATTACAGTCAATGTCATTATTTTTGAAAACATATTAACTGTCAATTTTTATTTTATTTTAAATAGCTCTTTAGCTCTTATGGCTTAATTTATTACTTTGATTTTTGGTTGTAATATTATAAATTTACTTTTATTTATTTTTTATTATTGGTTATTATAATTTTTACATTGCATAAGATTATTTTCTCTACAATTCATTTTGTTAATATGTCACGTTATCATGGTTTCAGAATTGGTACTTATATTACTTCAAATATCATTGCTAACTAAACCAGGACCCAAGGTATCCTTCACAATTATATTTAATATTTGCAAATGGAAAGATGTAAATCATTTTGAGATGAAACTATCTCATGTTTCCTAAAAAATATATTTAATGAATGTTTTCAGTGAACTTTGAATTGAACATTGAATATTAAATGTTAATTTTGGTAGTTATAATCATGGGTTTTCCAGCAAAATATGGTTATAGATCTCTGACCAAAATTGTGCTTTTTGCATAATACAAAAATCTATATCATAAGGATTATAACTGGTGAAAATTTCAGACCGTTTACTTAATAAAAATGAGTTCTATTAAAAACATTTTTTGTAGATAGTAATAGGGATTATCACTTATTGTTTTCGTGAAGCAGTAAAATCTTTTTTTGTATTAACACAATTTGATATGTTGGAGCACTTAATTTAGTGATGAACTTAAATTTTTGTTTCTGTTTCTTATCAGAGATCAGTGCAAGAACTTAATTTATAAATTTTAAAAATGGTAATTGGAAATCTATTATTGTAAAAAACCATGATCAATATTTGTAAATTATATAAAATAAATTTAAATAAACATTTAAGAATGCTTTTTGTAAATAGTTATTAATAAAATGATGGTATATTAAAATCACAAGAAAATGATTTCTCTGTTCTTTTAAATTAGTATTATTTTTATTCTGCTAATGATGTTGAAATTGATTAAAAATAAAGTTATTCTTTTTTCTTTTTCTTGCTTGTATTAATATCGCTGACCACCAATCCTATTTGATTTTATATAGAGTATATCGAAAGAAAATAATAATAATTAAAATAATTAATAATAAAAACTTCAATAATTTATTTCTAAATAGAAAATATGTGAATAAAATTTTTACCAGGTGGAAGAGATTTTTGTAATTTTTCGGCTTTCTCTACATCTTCAATTACAAAAGTGTACAAATATCTTGAACATCTAAGCTTAAATTTTACCTTTGATACACCATTTTTCTTAATACGAACGGCTTTGATATATATGTGTGTGTATATATAGCATGTGTTAATTAATAGGAATAAAAAAATAACCAACAATAAATATATAATTACATTTTGCATCTTTTCTACGTGCAATCTCAAGAAAATATTTAATATCAGCAATTTGTTTTGG